GTTCAAGGCAAACTGGCTTTCTGCGGCGAAGAAGGTGGACAAGGTGGCTGTACAAAATCTGATGGCAGGGGTCAAGCGTAAGGCCCGGCAATTCGGATTTGGAAAAGCGGAAGCCTAACTGAATATTTTTCCTGAATTTTATACTAATTGAACTTGAAAAAGAAATTTAATTTGATTTTTTAAATAAACGATTTCACCGATTTACACGCGTTTTCCCTTGACCAAATTTTGACCGTATCACCCTTTAGACACATCAAATGTCTTGAGCACCAGTCAGCAAAAATACTTAACATATTCTGGAGATCCCAGCAGTCCGAGAGGCTTTTAATAATTTTGTAGATTTTCGTATCGTCTGCATAGAAAACGCGGCATCCTGATGGTATCAGCAAGGCGACGTCGTTTAAAAATATCGAAAATAGTAGCGGTCCTAGGTTACTGCCTTGCGGGACTCCCGAGTTGTTTGAGAAAACATCCGATTCCGACGCGCCAATCTTGACATGTACATAGCGTAAGATCAAGTAAGATCTGAACCAATTCACAGTAGTTGACGAGATGCCAAGTATCTCCAGCTTGGCCAGCAAGATATTATGGTCCACCGTGTCAAATGCAGCTTTTAGATCCATATACGCAGTATCGACTTGCCATCCTGAATCCATGCATCGCAGACAGTTAGAAGTGAACTGCACCAGGTTCGTGGACACGGAGCGCTTCGGGTAGAAACCGTGTTGTTCTGTATCGATATAATTTTTGCAGCGTGCGAACAGAGCACCATTTATGATAATCTCGAACAGTTTTGAGCAGGCACACAGGGAGGTGGTTCCACGATAATTTTTGACATTCCGTTTATCTCCTTTTTTTGTGCACTGGGAACAGATAAGAAAGTTTCCAGCTGTAGGGGAACTCACATTGCTGTGCCGAGAGATTGAATAGCCACGCAAGTGGAATGCAGAGATTGGCTACACAACGTTTTAGAACTGATGACGGAATGCCGTCAGGTCCGGCGGCGAACGAGAACAGTTGATTGGGACCTCAAATGAAATTTAAAAAGAAAGGTTCTTCTCGTTAGGTGAGGTTAAGTTTGTGTTTTTCTATAAAACGGTGGTTTGTTATAATACCGATCTCATTTGATGTAACTGATATAAAGAAAACCGGATCCTAGTGCATGTTCCAATACATTTTGACGAGATTCAAATCCATCCCGATAAGTTCATGCCTTCCGAAAAAAAAGTATGACGATTTTGATGATACCATGCTTTATTTTTCTGCTATTCCAGCAATTTCCAATGTCGCAGCATTAAACCCGTAGAAGCGTGAAAAACACAGAGAAAACACACAAAGAAAGAACTCTTCTCGGGAAATCCATCGCCTTCCGGAGCACAGCAGCGAACGAACAATAATGAAAACACATTTAGATTCAAATTCATGCTGACACTTTGCTTCACCCCTAATTGACACTTTTCTCGCGCGCGCAATACTTGAGCGGATCTCCTCTTCCGGAAAAACCAGCAAACACAAAATACCTACCTAGCGGAGAGGGATGGGGGTGGAAAAATACTTTTCGCCACTTGAGACTTTCAAATTCCAAGCAAGCGGCCACCGTCGCGGGGCGACGGGATGGTGAAAGCGAAATACTTCACAATGTGTCACGTCTTGTTCGGTTCGACACTTCTCCAATGCTACTTCCCCTTAGAGGCGACCTCTCCACCAAGCGGGAAGAAGCGCCCGCGAGGATGCTCCCGAGTGTGAAGAATTGATTCTGAAAACAGCGTGACAGCTCCACCACTTTACGCTACCTAGGAATAAGCAACAACAACAACAATAACAACAACAAGTTGGAAGCTGTGGTAGAAAATTTGCGCGCATATTGCGGTACGGAATTCAAAGCGAACTGTGCCAGCACAGTGGAGATCAGATGTGAAGTGGCTCTTCAAAGTTCTCGAGTTTTTCAAGCTCATCGGATTCGCAGCACAGATCAGGGTGTGATAGGGGTGGGGTGCTAGCGGTTGTTTGAGTTTTCTCTGATTGTTGTTGCTCGGTGACGTAAGAATGATGGTGGTGTATTCTTACGAGGAAATTCGATCGGAAGTTATTAGAGTTTCTGTATGGGAAGGACGGCATCGAAGTGAAATACACTTTGACAGGCTGAATTGGTCGATGGATGGAATTGAAAGACGATGAGGTTCGGTGATGAGGTTCATGTATATGACTGTATGTTCTAAATTTGTGCTAGCGATGAATGGTTGGTATTTGTTTCACCAACGTCATCTGTTATCCTCATCCTTGCATTCAGCGATGCCACAAAAATAGATTTTTGTACACGACGAGAGGTTGGGACTTTTAGTTTTTTTTTTTTTTATAGCGTAAGGTGCTTGTAACAATTTTGTTACCTCAATAAATAGTTATTTTATTTATTTTTCATGCAGATCCTTCTGGCATTAAAATAAACAAGGGGGTCCTAACTTTTATCGTGTACATCGCTGCTTGCATTCAGTCACAACTTAATGGGAAAGAGGACGTAGTATGTTAAGAAAATTCAAAGCAGCTTTTTCGTTTCAAATGAAAATGTATTCACTGTGTTCCGATAGGAAAGAAGCATGCAATGAACACATTTTCATGAACGTAATTTAAGGTGAAAGAAGACGTCATTAATTTTCAAAATTCTAAAGCAGTTTTTTAGTTCAAAACCAAAATTAATTTCATGAAAATGAGTTAATTGCCTGCTTCTTTCCTATCGGAACACAGGGAATACATTTTCATTTGAAATTAAATGTCTTTTTTTTTCATTTGAAATTTAAAAATGAGATATAAGAAAATAATAAATTAAAAGAGATCGATCCTGCCAGGAGTCGAACCTGGAATCTTCTGATCCGTAGTCAGACGCGTTATCCATTGCGCCACAGGACCCTTATGAGCATCAAACGTTTGCTTTATTAGGTCCTCTCCGAATCTGCTCTGCTGAAGGCTTATCCTCCTCTCTCTCTCTCGCCCTTCGGTTCGTACAGAAAGCGCATAAAGATCCCTCGAAACACGCATTAAACTCAACATCATAATTTTCTTTTGTTATTTCTATCGGGCCTATAGAACAGAATCTGTTTCGCTGCTGGCTATGCCGCTGCTATCACATGGGTAGCTGCTGAGATGTAGCAGCGAGCGCACGGCTTAGTATGTATAGAAATATCCGGGGTGGTGTGTGGAAGAAAAGATACGTTGTTGGTGATAATAAATAATGATTATAAATTATGCTCTCTAGCTGCTGCCGCTCGCTGGTGGTGTTTTTGTGCTGGGCGAACAAAACGACGCTCGGAATAAGAGTCTGTTTTCCACGATTTGTTTATTTTTTCTCGCGATTCTGCCAGTACCACCGAAAATTGGACTCTCCCCGATGAACACATATAGGCCTATCCTTTGCTTAGGAAAGGCCCATAGAAATCGATGCTGGGAGATGCTTTCTCGTTGCAGGAAATGAAGAAGAGGGCAGGGAAAAGAGTGTTATTTATGAAATCAAAAAATGAATAAATCCTTAAAAGCAGCACCAGCAACGTATAACATTGATGAAAGCACCCCGATAGTGGAATACCACAGGGTTGTTCTGCGCGAAGCTTGGTTCATGTTCGAGTCTGTTTTGTGCTGGAAGCATATAAATATAAATTATTGCCTACAATCGATTGCTGCTGATAGATTATCCACTGTTCTTTATGGGAAGTTGAATTCGGTTGTTTTTTCCCGCTGATTGCGAACATTAGTTGCAGAAACGAAATGATAAAAATAAAAGCTGCAGGAAGGGGAAACTGAAAGGGTCATCTGTTTTGCAGGGAATGGATTAATATGGGTTTCCGTAGTGATGAATGTAAACTTGATTGATTATAAGTGTCTGCCTGTCACATTTTCCTTATGACAGATTGTTTTTGTTTATTTAGTTATGACGCAGCTACTGAAACTTATAGCAATTAAGTGATCCTTTGAGCCCTTCCCAACAAATATGCTGTGACCTTAACAGTGATACTGTTAGGGGCTGTCCATAATCTACGTAGACACTTCACAAGACATTTTTAGATGGCAGAACATATTTGGCACCATTTTTTTTTTTTTTCAAACACGTTCATTTAGAACTCTTTCATCTTAGCATCTAGAGACAGTTACAACATAGATTAAAATCCAGTGCTTCTATTGTAAAACTACTGTTGACATCTAAAACAAAGTTTACATTAACGATAAACATTTTTAGAGCCTTGTTTTTCGAATTTCTGTTCGCACTCTTAAATTCAGGTATCAAAAACATTTGCAAGGTTACTCTTCGGTTTAAAATTTGCTCCAATTTTGAACGAAGATAATCCCACAGATGGCGTACACGCCTGCATGTAAAGAGCTTATGTTCAAGGTCTTCGACTGCATTCTGGCAATGAGCACATATTTCACTATCCGTTCGATTCTGCCTGTAGAACATGGCCGCGTGCGGGATTTTGTTGTTTACCAATAGGTAATACGTTGACTTCTCTTCTGCTGATAGGGTTCTATGCCGTATGTTTCACCAAACTTTAGTCCATTGAACGTTTGGATTTTCTTCCATTACTTTTGGTGTTTTAAGTGAACTACGATAAAAGTTTTCGATACCACTTGCAGAAGGATTCCTTGACACATTCCCGGGGATGTAAGATAACTCCTTGGTAATTCTTTTCAGGCATGGATACAATGCAGGGATTCCGTTGACGTTGAGTGGATTTGCCATCTGCGTAACGAAAGATGATGCAAAAGGAGTTTGTTCTTGGCACATCACAAATCGATTTAGCAGCAATGCTTTACACTTAAGCATCGGAAGGTGAAGATTGAGTCCACCTTTTTCCACAGGAAGAGTTAATTGCTCCATTGCTACTCTACAAGGATATCGCCCCCAAATGAACGATCCAATTTGAGATGTCATTCTGGCCACTACCTGGTTGGAAATGCTGAGGACCGACGCCATGAACCACAATCTCGAAGTGATTCGGTGAGTACTGGCAGACCGGTTCCCAGTGGAACTTCCCTTCCGGATGGGAAGAAGCTGAAGAAAGCTTGGATGCCCGTGACCAAGTCGACCTTTCTCGAGCGGAAGAATTCTGGATCTGCCAGTTCGATGTCTGCCGGTATGTCCCGTCCATTTGCCTGCACTGTAGAAGTAGGCAGACAAGCTGTGACCTTCAGCAAGACGAGAAAATCCATCGGTCTAGAGTACGACGAGACTCGAGACTTGACGACGGCTTGAATCTTTCGCTTGACCCTCGTTCCGGATTGTCCGCTGCCCAATATTGAAATATCGACCTTCTGGCTAGCAACCTTCATCAACTGACTCAGACTTTCAGAAATGAAGTTGCATTCCGACCCGGAATCTAATAGCGCACGTGCCGGATAGCGAGAACCCTGGCTGTCCTCGATCACAACTACTGCTGTAGCCAGAAGTACCTGCGATGTCGGAAGCTGCGCCGTGTTTGACGATGCTGTCTCGACCGATGCTGCATTCACTGCCGTGGGATCAGAACTCGAGTCGTTCCGGTTGCCACTATTACCCGAATTGGTTTTCTCGGGTGACCCATTCCTACTGCTTCTTCCTTCGCACAGCAGTGTGTGGTGTCGAGCCTTGCAGTTGCGACACGAGAACTTTGACGAGCAATCTCGAGCTAGATGTCCTCGCTTGAGACAGTTTCGGCAGAGTGACTGTGCTCGTAGAAACGACTCTCTGCTGGACAGCGACATTTTCAGGAAGGCTGGACACGTATGTAGTCCATGAACCTCCGTACACGATGGGCACTTAGCGGTATTCCATTGTACGGCGTTGTGGCTGACCTTCGGTGAAAACGACTTCCGTTTGGGTTGCTGCGGCTCGTTTTTGAGTTCTGCCTTCGCTGGTAGAGACTCGAGGATTTGAATTCTCCATTGTAGGAACTCCTGCAAGTCCTGTAGAGTGTCTTGCTCCTTAGCGGACGTGTGTTCTTCCCAGCCACGTCGAGTGACTGGATCCAGACGAGAACTCAGCAGTTCTACCAGCAGCAAATCCTTATATTCGGCTGGTTCGATGACTTGATCCAATATCTGAATCGCACGGTCGAATTCATCAGCCAATCTGTGGAGATCCGTGACCGATTCCTTGACGAGTGAAGGTAGTTTGACCAGCGCTTGTACTTGTTTCCTCTTTAGTATCTTACTGTTGTTGAAACGTTTTAGCAACGACTCCCAAGCTATTTTATAATGGACTCTAGTTATCTTTAGCGGATCTACTAGCGCCTTAGCTTCGCCTGCTAAGCAACCTTTCAAATAGTGGAATTTCTCCACATCCGGAAGTTCTGCCTTCTCATGGATCAAGGACGTGTAGAGATCCCTGAAACTCAGCCAGTCATCGATGTCTCCGTCGAAAGTCTGCAGCTTGATTTGCGGCAGGCGCACACGGTCCATTGTACCATGTGTACTAGCGGCGTCTGCACTTCGTGTTGACTGGTTTAATGCTGATTCTTCCTGGAACTTCTTGGCCTTCTCCATCAAGAACGATTTCGCATCGTAGTAGCGATTCTCGAACTCCAATTGCTTATTTTCGACACCTTCTTGCTCTTCGTAGTCTTCATGCGATTCGATTTCTCAAGAAGTCTCACTAATTTGCTCCCACAACAAATCTATACGTTCGAGGCGGACATTGACCTGACTAGCTGTTGTACCCTCTTTATAATACCTAACGAACTGACTAATGTTGTTTAACGACGCTCGAAGACCCTTGAGTTTTGACTTGAACACCTTCAAGGAGTCGGTTGACCTGGTAATCTTCGTAGACATGGTTGTTGTTGGAGAATCACGGTACGGAAACGAAGAACCAAGAGCCAGTCGTAAGTTGATAGGTACAAGTGATGCGTTGCTCCACGCGATGTTTGGCGAAACGTTGAAAGATCCGAGAATCGAAAGGAATCGGCGATGTAGTATGCAAATTGTCTGCTTCGGCTGGACATATACTGTTCAACTCACCTTTGAGAAGAACCACTGGTGCTACCGAAGCCAGATAGCAGTAAATTTCAAAACTGTACACCTCAAAACGTTTGATCGGGAATCTCGGATTCCAATTCGAGCCAGTGAAGAGCGAAGGAATGGAAAAGCGAATGTAGTAACCAATATTTGAGCTTCGGCTGAACATATACCGTTCGGCTTACCTGTGCAAATGACAGTTTGTGCCGACAGCCGAATCCAAATTGCCTCAAAATCACGATGACTATCCTTTCGAACCACGAAGTTGTAAAGCCTTACGGTAACAAGTCGGTAGATCGTATCGAAATCCAGTGCAGCGAAGGAGAAATGTACCAATGTAGTATCACAAGAGAGCCTGCTTCGGCAGGACATATACTTATTCTCACCTGGAGAACTACAGATGGCGCTGAACGTCACGCAGAATGAAATATCAGCAGTCCGAAAACCAAAAAAAAAAAACTCAGGGCTTGCGTCCAAAATAATTTGACTCGAACAGTCCAATTTAGCATCGAAAGGTAGAATTTATTTAGGTGCGGTATCAATCGAATCCAGCTTCAGCTGGGCATATACTATTCAAATGTAGTTACCTGGACACGATGATCGTTGAGCGATGCCCGAGCCTGAAAGCTATCACGTTGTCGCTGTCTCGTCTAGTCAGAGGGAAACACAGCGCCGAAATCGTCATCAATCATAGTAGAAAACTGCGCCAAAATCGTCATAGATCGTCTAATAAATCACCACCGAATTCCTCCAAGTGGTTACACTCATCGGAAGATGCCCGAAATCGAGTTCTTTGTGAACTGATTCACCACTCCGTTGTTCGTCAATTCAGGAACAATCACACAATAAAGTCGAAATGTGGGCGTTAGTGGGATGTATTTCATGCTTCGGTGGACATATACATGTTCTACATACCTGGCCTGATAGCAGAACAACGCTCAGGTTGTCCTACAATCCCTTTTGATTCGTGATCCGTGCAGTTCCAAATCCCACTCGAGAATGATCGGTTGTTGTTGCTGTTGTTCCTACAGACGATTCAGTCGAAGGACGATGGCGAATATCCTCACTGTTGCTGCAGGATTAGGTGGTGTCGTTTGGCGGCAATTGATTCTTTCGCTATCTTCGACGATGGCGATTGGATCCCTTTGATACACTTCAAGGATGGCGATTGACACTATTGATGATCCATGCGATGGCGATAGTCTCTTTCAATGCACTTCAAGGATGGCGTGGATCCTTTGTGGGTTGCGAGTAGGCTGTTTGTTGGACGTGCACCGGTGCAAATTGACCGTCGAATTGTCGAAATTCGATCGATCCGTGAGTCCACCGGTAGTAGAAAATCCGGCTCGAAGGACCAATTTATGTCGGGGACCGTCCCGACCGTTTGATGGTGACTTCTACTTGCCCGGCGAACGTACCCTTTCGTATCCTTTCCTCGACCAAATCCTTCTGTCATCCGTAGACCTTCCTTCACCGCATACAGAACACTACACCCTTTTCACAAAATACCGTTTATTTTTCACTAAAGCACAACATTGATTTTATTTACTAAACACTACATTTATTCTTACTAATAACTAAACAAAATGATTTCGTACGGGGTTCGCCCCCGGTCGACTACTCGCGACATTGTACTTTTTGATTAATTTTAATTTCCTATTACCTATTCCTACTCCCACACTGTACGACGACGATCCCTCTCCCTCTCCGTGCAGCTCGTGCGTAGTAGTGAGTGACCGCAGTGAATCGGTTCACTACCACTAGCCACCACACTCAACCGATTGGTAGCACCTTGGAGTACCTAAAACCCAGCAGGTGTTTTCGGCTGGCTGCATCCGCTGTTTTTCTTGTTGCTCGCAAACACACACAAATACACATGCTCGAGGAGTTTGACATTCCACTTTTCATTAAAGTAGCAGTGGTTCGGTTCACGAGGCTTGCTAGATGAAAGTTTCCTCTACGAAAGTAATATTTTTTTTACGAGAGCCACATGGAATGTGCCATTTTGCAGTAATCTTCATATATTTATCGTTGCTGATGTTCTTTTATGCTGGCGATTGATTTATGCTATCTTAACAGTAGTCATAATTTATAACTACTCAAGATACCACAAATTCAGAGGATAGTTCCGATGGAACTATTGGAACTGAACTCCCCCTGAAGTTTCACCTCTTTTTGGAGTTTACTAAACATCTTTGAAAAGCTTCCGCATTTTGCTAATGGTCATGAAAGTTCCTGAAGTTTTTGGATCTTCCCTTAAGTTCCATATACTTCTATGAAGGTCCTCAAATTTTCCTGAAGATCTCTGCACTTCAGTGAATTTTTCGATATTTTTCTGAACCAGCATAAATTGTACAGCAACGTAGAAACTGAAATGGTAATTGTTTGTAAAATGCCAGAGGTATTCTTAGTTAACCGCATAAAGCAAAACCATATTTAGGTATGTTTTCATTGGTTTTTTTTTTTATTTGAGTATAATCCTATCCATAATATTGCCCTTTGTTTTGTATTGAACTTGAGGCTTAAGAAGGGCGACCGAGAAACACAAGTCTGTTGCACCATTGCTTGGGTTAGCGCAGTAAGGGCATCATACTGAGGTTTTGATTTGGTAACTTACTGGTGGTTTTGCGAATTTTGTTTTGTGAAATTTGTTTTGCTCACGAATGTTTAGGAAAATTTCTAGAAATTTTTCAAACTTTTCCTGAAATTTTGAGAAAGTTAAGTACGATATGAGATAAATAGAAAAACAAAATTATGGTGCTTGGAAAATGTTGATGGAACTTTTAGAAACGAATCATAATTTCAAGAAGTAATGTGTTGTGTGGCAAATGCCACCTTCACCACATGTAGAGTATGGTGCTGCTCATCATGCAGCAGCGATAAAGTGCAAATGTTTTACAACGTACCATATCAACTATATAAGACACTATTCGAAACAACGTCATCAACGTCAGGGGCAAACGCATCGTTATTTTTGATAGATCTATATTTTAAGGGCGCAGGTCAATATTGGGTGCGACTACTTAACTCAAATTTTGCGAACACAGCACTGGGCACAAGGCTCATTAACTGAAACCCAACTTCAAATTACTCCAATGCAAAAGCAACTCAATACAGCGATGGTTTTTCAAGCCCATGTTCAAGCATGAAATTTTGTTTAATCATTATAACTTGAACATGTTGTTACGGCTTGCAAGTCTTCCGGCAAAAATAGAACATACTATCATGTCTTCTCAAAATCCATCTGCTCATTAGTACAGCGACAATAAAAATTACCGTCAAGAAAACGCACAATTACTCCACATACCAAACAATGCTGATGACAAATATTTTCTCAGCTCTACACTTGTAAGTAAAAATAGAAACCACTTTTTCGGCTCCATCTGCCGAGTCGGAATTTGGGTGGCGCCAAATTTTATAGCCCACACTTATCCTTTTTGGCAGGCATTGCCATCAGCCAGCAAGAGCGCGAGAAGGGCTATACCCTTATCTAAGTAAGGTACGGCAAAACGTGTTCAAGCCTTTTTGGGGTTTAACGGAAAAATATTACAACAAGCCACATTTAAATTGTCTTAAAAGCATTTCGAGAGCAGCATTTTGGCAGCTATTACTGCCCGCCCACCGCCGCAGCTTCCCATTTCATTCGCGGCAAAGGTTTGCCCACGAGCTCCAAATTGCACCACCCCCCGCTTTTGTTTTCTTTCCGTCATATAGTACAAACGATGCTACGCGGAAGGAGATAGGACCCCCCCAACGCGCCAAGACCACAGCAAATATTTGCAGTGCAATTCCCGGACTGCGACGATGGCGTGGCAACGGGAGCGCGGTTCAGGGTAGTGTGAGGGGTCGTATGCATGCTGTGTATGCTCAGCAGCTTAGCTTTTACTTCTGTTCTCCACGCAATTTGGAGTGACATTTTGAAATAGTCGCTTGGTTTTATTTTTTTTTAACTTGGGAAAGTGGAGCTCGTGATCCAATTTGGATGGCTGTGGATGTGCGGGAATTGCTGGATACAAGTGTTTGCTTTTCAATTACGTGCGTCGAGGCAAGATTTCTTGGGATTGAACGGTTGACGAGGTTTGACAACTGTAGCGAATTGCAATTTTTCAGTGTCGCTTCAATAATAGAATTTTATTTTTATACGATTTTAAGTAGTAGTAGTTAAATTATGTTTATTTCTGTTGATGATAATAGAACATTGATTTAACATTTCAAATGATTAGTCTATCAGGCTCTTCATCTTTGTTTCATTGGATATTCTAATTTAATATTTGCGTTTTTCCACTAGTTATCAGAATACCCCCCAAGGGTTTGTTTTGTATTAATTGCAAAAATTATAACCTACCTATCTACGAGTATAACTTAACCTAACGTGCTAGATCACGTATGATCTGTTGATCTGATCTCAGACAGGTGTCGCTGAACCTTTCCAGGCTGAATACTCTCCGTTCATCTAATGTCTTAATTCCAGCCAGGAGGTGGATCTCAAAATTTCGAGTCCGCGGGGGACTGTTTAGGATCATCCTAAGGATCTTGTCCTGGATCCTTTGCAGTTCAAAATGATGGCATTTGGATCAACTCTTCCAGATTGGCATTCCATACTCAATAATAGATAGGATTAGTTGTCTATAGACAGCAAGCTTATTTTTCAGGGATAAGGTGGACTTCCTGCTGATAAGCGGATATAGTGATCTTATCAAGATGTTGCACTTGGTGTTAGTTTAGTCGATGTGCTCCCTGAAAATAAGCTTGCTGACTAGGGTTAGTCCGAGGTACACAACCTCTTTGGACCATTCCACCACTGAGCAGTTCAAGCA